TCTCGAATCGGCCTCCGGATGCTCCAAATCTAACCAAAATTATTGCAAAACCATCAAAATATGCTAAGGAAATAAAGCCCACTCGAAAGAAATCAAATTACAACACAAATCCCGAAATTGGCCAAACCCGACCCCTGAGTCCGCGTCTCGAATTCCGATAAAAATTACATCAATAGACTCTTTATCACTCCCCGAGTTCATTCATATCAAAATCACCAAAATCCAACCACAAACGACCCCTCAAATCCCAAATTCTAGGTCTCCAATTACAAGCCCTAGTTCTTCGATATTAGGCTTAAATTCCATGATTAATTAGGTAGAAAACACATTAGGATTGAGTATTAAGTCCATAAATCTTACCCTCCAAGTGTTCCCCCTTGATTCCCTCTTCAATCCCCTTCAAAAAGCTTCAAAATCGCCCAACAATGGAGGAACTTATACCCAAAATCGCGGAAATGTGCTTTTAAAACATTCTACCGAGGCATTCAAAACCTTCTTCGCGAACGTGAGGCACAAACTTAAGTTGACCAAAATTCCCTCTTACACGAATGCGACAACCCCTCACGAACACGAAATCTTAACTTTATTACACACCGCGAATGCAACACTCCACCCGTGAACGCGAAGAGCAAACCAACCTGGACCCAGCTGCTCACCTTACTTCTACGCGAACGCGGCATGCACCTCGCGAATATGATGACCATGAGCCTCAACCCTTCGTGATTGCAGGACCCCCTTCATGAACGTGAAGGCCAACTTCACAGCCTCCCAACCTAAATTTTCGCGAACGCGAGGGCCTACTTGTGAATGCGAAGGTCAATTGTCTACAACATACACAACAATTTCTCTACAACTTTCCACAACATGAAATAGTCCGTTTGACCACCCGAAACTCACCTGAGGCCCTCAGAACCTCAACCAAACATTCCAACATATGCCATAACATCATTCAAACTTATTCCAACCTTCAGAACGCTCAAAACAACATCATAACACCAAATTCGCATCGAATTCAAGCCTAAGAATTCCAAAATCTTCTAAATTCCTCTTTCGATCAAAAAGTCTATCAAACCATGTCCGAATGACCTAAAAGTTTGCACACACATCCCAAATAGCACAACGGACCTACTTCAACTTCCGGAATTCCATTCTGACTCCTATATCAAAATCTCACCTATCTACCGGAAAACGCCAAAATTCTAATTTTGCCAATTCAAGCCTAAATCTACTCCGGACCTCCAAAATACATTCCGATCATGCTGCTAAGTCCCAAATCACCTCCCGAAGCTATCCGAACCATCGAAACTCCCATCCGATCCCTTTAGCACATAAGTCAACATCCGATTGACTTTTCTAACTTAAGCTTCCTCAAAAGAGACTAAGTGTCTCAAACCTTACAAAAACCTCTCCGAACCCGAGCCAACTAACTTGGTAATACAAAAATACAGTTGAACAAGGCAATAATAAGAAGAAATGGGGAAAACGGAGTGATAACTCATGAAACAACCGGCCGGGTCGTTACAGAAATGAATTGCTATCATTTCAGTAATTTCGTGGGGCACCCTATTTGTTCATCCTCATTTAACATGTACCCACTTTTTTCTAAAAAGTTTAACTGGTACCCAATTTTTGTGTAATTTTAGATACCCACACTTTTCTCTTCTTCTCCGTTGCGGCTCTTTCTTCTCTGTATTCATTTCACATGTATCTTGGAGCTTCTCTACTGCTTTATTCTTCTTTGTATTCATGTCCCATATATCCAAGAGCCGTTCAATTTTTTCTTCTTCTTAGTTGCAAAGTACCATTGTAGGTGTTTAGGGTTTCTTCTTTTTCTTCTTCTTAGTTGCAAAATAAATTTGTTAGATTACTGTTATTTTGATATATCATGATTGAGATCATTCTTTATGATATTTGAAAGTAATGTTTCAAATTGAGCTCATTTGGAGTAGATTTTGCTATTTAATCGATTGTTTGATTGTTGAAATTCGAAGAACAAGTTTATATTTTAGAACTTAAGATTCTATTTTTGAAGTTGCATTGAAGAAATATAACTACTTAAGATCCGAACTTTCTAAAGTTGCATTTGAAATATAGAAGAACCTAATTTTTTTTAATTCTGAAGTTGCATTGAAGAGATAAAACTACTTAAGATCTGAATTTTCTGAAGTTGTATTTGAAAGATAGAAGAATTTAAGACTTGATTTCTGAAGTTGCATTGAAAGATAGAGCTACTTAAGATTCGAATTTTCTAAAGCTGCATTTAAAAGAAAAAAGGACTTAAAATTTGATTTCTCAATTTGCATTGAAAAGATTTAACCACTTCATATCCCAATGGATAAATTTTATAATTTTCTTTTTTGCAATGTGGGTATAATTGAAGAGATATAGCTATTTCTGATACCCACCTAAACTTTACCTACTATAACGAAAACCTACACATTAAGGTAATTTTACAGTTATATTGGGTAAATATTTGTGACCTTGTGATGATAGGCTATGAACTCATATTTTTATCTATATTTTTCACTCTATTTACTACACTTTGATTGTATTTAAACCTAATTATTAGTACTTTGTACTTATTACATGTGCTATAGTGTAGGATGTTATTTCGAGTTGAGAAGCAAGTTTAGAGCTAAAATGGATGGATTTCATTTTGAAATCTGAGTAGAAGCCCAAAGAATTAAGAGGAAAGTGTGTTCAGGGTTCAAGGATCAAGTCTGAATGTTAAAATTGAAAACAAATAGTTACTCTAGAAAAAATGCAGTAGCACGCCCCAGGTGCGATGCGGGGCGCTGGTTACTAGTTGCAGGGTAGAAAGAATCAAGTCTCTGAACTTTCCCATTGGCGCGGCGCATGAGGCGACGTGGGATGCGCTGCGCCTGTGTATTTTACTTAGAGTAATTTCCCACTTTTGCTTGAAAAGAGTAGTTTCATTCGGACCCGCACACGGTATAAATACATCAAAAATATGATTTTGAGACGACTTTTGACCTACGGAGGATTGAAAGAGCACCGGAAGCTTCAAGACACAAGAATTCGTCATCTTTTCACCAATTCAATACGGGAGTTTGGATTGTAACGTTGGATTGATGTTTTCGTATTCTTTAGGTCTATTTATGATGACTTCCTTCATGATTATGGAGTAGTTTACCTCAGGGTTTGATATGAGTTGGTGACTTTGTTATCTATAAATTTAATTATTGGTTGATTGCTTGAATTTGTTGGAGGAGATTTAACTATAGTTGTGATTTTATCCAATATCGTGTTCAATCAGAAGAGGAGCATAATATCAAATATTGTTGCAACACATGCCTTAATTTATTTTGGTGCTTATTTAATGTAATCGAAAGAGCTTTGTGATCTACCATTTTAATTAAGATTATGAAATATTCGCGAGAAGTTTCTCTTAGATCATTCCTACCAATAGATTCTTGTAAGTTTCACCGCACTTCACTTTAGCTTATTTGAAAGTTCCAAATTTAATCGAGAGAGAAATTTGAATCGGAAGTCTAAGCGAATCACCTATTGAATTCGTGAGAATCGATTGACCTTTAAAAGTGAAATATAACAGTGTCAAAATCAGAAAAATAACCTTGCACCTATCATGTCGAAACCCTTATTTAATTTCTCACACCAATAACAATCAATTATGCTAATCACTAGTTCTTTGCAATCAATTGTGCGTTTGATTTTTTTAGTTAATTGTAGTTTGTACTTATCCCAGATCAAAGTATTGAATATCCTGAGTGGCAAGCAACTAGAAATTATTCGAACATTGTTTAAATTCAATTTCTGTGAAAACGATAATTAAACTGTACTATTTTTGACTAACGAGCATCAATTCGTATTGTGTTTTACGCTCATCACCTTGTTGTTACAATATATTAATTTTGTAATATTAATGTTATAGTGGATAAAGTTCAATTATTCAACATAACAAGAGATAGTTTTATAACTTTAATGTTCTAGTGGTAATTAAAGTTAAGTTACTTTAGTGTGACGAACCAAATAATTTTATGACTTTGCTATTATAGTGAATTAAGTTTGATCATCACACGTAAAATTAACTCGTAAATAATATTGCTATGTTCGGATGCTGCTAGGAGTTCCCTGCACATTTGAATCATATTAAGATGATAACATGCATATTTGTAGGCGAAGATGCAATCATACTATTAGCAAATAAGAAATCATGACAACATGCTAGATTAACAATTCAATCGTAGACTTTTCTCATTTTTTTCCAATTCAAAGTCTAAATTTTGATGCAAAATGTACCAATTGACTAAAATTTGATTGTTTGTTAAGGCAATTCTATTGTTAACCCACTTTCTTGAATGAGTTAATTAGTTACATACACAATTATTTTGAAGATTTTTTATATTATCAGATTACTTCTATCTGTTATAACAAACAACTTATTTTATTCTTAATATTATAGATTCCACGTTATAAGGAGGTTTATTTGTGAATATTCATTAATTTTGGTGGCATGAGCGTACGCAGGATTTTTGATAAGCAGTATAAAAATTTGAAAAAATAAATGAATGAAAAATCATTATAATGAAAAGTGGTGTCATTTTTTTATATTTATACCAATATTTTTATTTCGTATACTATCCATATATACATATTTAATAAAAATTACGACAAAGCGGTGTCACGCGACATCGCTCGCCGCATGTGTATATAACTTTAACTTCTGAATGAACATGTACATTCACCATGTGCTGAGAGTTGTGAAATTGACTGTTGACTGTTGATTAGAGATAAAACAGATCACAAGGTTCTGGATTAACAGTTACTTCTTGATCAACTTGAACCTGCTTGTATTTTAATATGAGAAATTACCTTGACTTTCCTTTTTAACAAATGGAAGCAAAAATATTATAAATGACTAAGACGGAAACAAGATGTTAACAATTGACCAGATCGAACTATAAGTTATAGACTCCTCAGCTGGTTGTTTCGTAAAAGAAAAAAAAGTATAACACGCTAACTCCTTACCAAACAAACAATTGTTTCCAAATTTAATGAAAGTAGACTTTGCTATAACAATGAGCATGAGCTGGTTAATAACAACTTTAGTAGCCATTGCTGCTTTTTTTTCTTCCCAATTAGCTTATGCCTATGATCTCAATCCTCTACAAGACATATGTGTTGGAGTTAAAGACACTAACGCTTCTGGTAAATCATATCCTTCTATAGTCAGGAAAGCTTTTTTACCGAATTTCTTCTTTTTCCTATTTTATACAATATTGTATGTTATATTATAGTGTTGATAAAAGCATGTATCGCTTCGTCGCTTCATAGGTGAAGCCATGCACTTCAAAGAAATATGTGCTTCAAATAATGACGCGCATAATTATCCCAAATGAGAATCAGTCGGTTCCTCGAAATTTCAAATTTGAGAAGTTGGACTAATATTGACATTATTATAAATTGCATGCTGAAACAAGTTATTCTCATTGCAAATTGATTCTATATAGTAGTAGTAAATTCATATATGTTTGGTACTTATCCAAAAATTGTGCACTTCACTAAACTAAAGAAGCATGTGCTCAGAGGCGGACCACGTGTAAGGGTGAGGGGACACCCACATATATATATATGTACACATCCTTTTCAAGCCTCATGGACCTTGTTGTTGTTGTTTTTTGTTTCCTTTTCCCTTTTAAGCACTTTATATATAATTACTGTTTAGCTCATAAACTATGAATAATTTTCTAGCTTCATTGCATTAACTTGTGCAGTTTTCGTGAATGGAAAGATTTGCAAAGACCCAAAGCTAGCCACAACAGATGATTTCTTTGCTTCAGGACTTAACGTAAGTGGAAATATAGTTCGGGCTAAGTTTGGTTATTCTGTAACTGTTGTGGATGTAAACACAATGCCTGGACTCAACACTCTTGGTATTTCTTTCATTCGTGCTGACATTGAGCCACGTGGCCTTATTCCACTACACACACACCAACGAGCTACTGAGCTCATAACTATATTGGAAGGAACTATTTATGCTGGATTTCTTCTCCCTGATTCTCCAAACATCTTTAAGAGTCGTCTCTTCTCGAAAATTTTGAATCCTGGCGACGTGTTTGTGATCCCACAGGGGCTTATACATTTCCAGTATAACGTGGGAAACAAAAAGGCTACAGTACTCGCTTCTTTCAACAGTCAAAATCCTGGATTTGTCATGATTCTTAATTCAATCTTTGCTTCGGATCCGCCTATTCTCGATGATGTTCTTGCCAAAGCTTTTCAGCTTGATAAGAAAGTGATTAAACAACTCCAAAAAAAGTTCTCTGATTAGTGTATTACTATCACTGTGTTTTCCAAAAGTTGTGTGCGACTGCTCACTGGCGATTTGTAATAAGTGCTGGAAAACTTTTCTCTAAGTTTAACACTGTTTGTTGTATTTGTCCATCCGTTTAATGTAAATTTAAAATATTTGAAGAATCTCTGTAGATCTGTAACCAGTAGATTCTTTCTTATATAATAAAAATAAGTAATAATATCCTGTGTCTTTTAGTAGCTTTTCTACAACTTCCTTTATCTGATAATGGGTAACAGATTTCTGTCGCAGTTAGAGCTGGAAGTATTCATTATGTATAATACCAAAGAGTCTGAGAATTTATAGTCTTTTATTTTATGTAATCATCGAGTGTATAATTTGGTATTCAGACTCGATTAATTTAGATTCGTATTGCGTAAAAATCATTAAATATTGGATAACGCCAACGTCTTGCCTATAACAAGGCCCACAAGGGGGTTGGTGGCCGGGTCAGAGTTATGGTCGAACATGACGCTTATTTAGTGGGATTGGTTAATCAATAAAGTTGTGTCTTGCTATCAGCTACAACTTTTGGCATGATGCTGAGTGTTTGATTCTAAGAAGTGGTATCAAAGCCAAGATCATGAGTTTGATTCCCAAGAGCAACATGCTGCATAAGGCAAGTGTTGGGAGGGATTATTGGATAACACCAGTATCCTGCCTATGGCAAGGCCCACGAGGGGAATGGGTGGCGCGGGTCGGAGACATGATCGAACATGAGCTTGCTTGGTGGGCTTGGTTAAGAAATAAATTATTGCCCTTGCTTTTTGGCATGACGGTGAGTGCTTGATCCTAACAAGATTAAAGGGGAAATGCTTCATATCAGGAAATTTTCAATTTTCAGTACTTAAATTCAAAATCTCTGATTAAGAGTCCGAAGATCCTGTTCATCCAACACATGAGGTGTTACACTCTGCAATATTACAATGATGTTACGTCCTGCAATATTATATTACGACGATGTTATGTCTTGCAGTATTACATTACGGTGATGTTACGCTTCACAGTATTAAGTTACGACGATGTTGCATCCTGTAGTATTGTACGTTGAATTTGCCGTAAGGTAATTGACATCAGTCCAAGTAAAAGATTATTTGGAGATTATAAGGATTATACTATTCAATAAGTGATGAGTAAATTCGTGAAGGTGAAAGGGGAAGCAAGTCAAAGAAAATGAATTTGCGTCAAAGTTTGGAATTTTGGGATAAAATACGGCCCGAGCTAAAATATTCGGTATTTATGGACTAGTGCCATACAAGGTACAACATGACCATGCTAGTAAGGTGTACAAGGTATGTTAAAAGAGGGTAGTATTTTAAGTAAGTTAAGATAATTCTTAATTATGCGGATAATTAGTTAATTACCGGGTAACGAGACATTACCTAATTAATTGGGAATATATTGGATAATTATTAAAAAGCATAAGGTGGAAGCACCCCATGCAATTGGAATGACTCATATCTCAATTTTAAAGGTGGCAAGTTTTGGGAGGGGTCTTTGCTAAGTCATCACCTAGTGGGGCCACGCACACTAAGGTAATACTTCCTAAAATTCAACTAAATTCATTAAAAAATGTGATCATTCTCACAAAGAATAAGTACTGCAATTTCACAAGAATGATTAAGTCACCATCTTCAAATCTAATTCACAAGAGACGTGAAATAAAGCTAAGGTGCAATTTCACAAGAATGATTAAGTCACAAGCTTCAAATCTAATTCACAAGAAACGTGAATTAAAGCTAAGGTGATGGATTTTGGGCAAAATTTTCATACAAAGTTATACTGCGTAATAGCAACGGGATTTGCAGTTCTAAGAGAGCACGATACAATCTTTCTCAAGAACAACATACGGATTTTCTCCTACTTCGATCCACCGTTACGTGTTGTCGCAATCAACGGGTGTTAAAGGGATTGTGAAGAGAATCGGTTCAGGTATGTTAAGGCTATCCGTTCTTTCTTTTGGCATGATCCATACGATGTAAATGAAACGTGCAAATGCACAACTTCCATAAATGACTCTATTCATAGAAATGCTAGAGATGCTTATGTTCTTGATTCTCCATGTGTCATATTATTCTGTCATCTGCTCATGGGTCTAAAAAAATATGTAATTGATAAAGTTTATCCGAAAGGCATATTCAGTTTTATGGCATTTCGAGAAAATCTTATTAATGTATTTCTTATGCATTTAATGCATTTATACATGTACATTGACCCATGACTCAGACGGCGTTATATACGAGTATATATATATATATATGGGAAAAGGTTACGGCGTTATAAACACACCACCACTTGATCAGCTGGTATATGCTGATGATTTTGCCCACAGTAGCCGAGATGATATGATGGGACACCCTCAGAGGCTGATGATGTTATGAAACATGTACCTATGCACGACATGAGATTCATACTCATATGCATGACACTATAATTATTTCATGATTTACAAAGTTATCCAGACTTACAGGTGGACCCATATACTCTATATTTCCTCCATGTCTGTTATGTACTTATTTATGTGCCTTACATATTCAAGTACATTATTCATATTGACATCCTTTTTTTCCTGGGGACACTGTGTTTCATGCCCGTAGGTCCCGATAGACAGATCGAGAGCCCTCTAAGTAGGCTATCAGCTCAGCAGAAGATGTTGGTGCGCTCCCTTTGCTTCGGAGTTGCTTGTTTGGTTAGTATGAGTTAGATGTGTATTGTTTGGTATGGCGGGACTCTGTCACGTCCTTTATGAAAATTATGTATTCTTAGAGGCTTGTAGACAAATGTAATGTACGTAAAAGATCGTATGGCCTTGCCAGCCTATGTTCAATGTTCAAGTGGTTATTTTGGTCTTAGAGGCCCAAATGTTTAATGTATAAGTTGGCATTAACTGCTGTATTCTACCTATTTCACGGCAGCCTCTTCGGCTCAGTTATTTATGATAGTATGGCATAAAAATATACGTTATGTTGGAACTCGGTTGAGTAAGGTACCGGGTGTCTGTCGCGGTCCATCGCTTTGGGTCGTGACAAAGTGGTATCATAGCAGTTCTGTCCTAGGAAGTCTACAAGCCGTGTCTAGTAGAGTCTTGTTTATGGGTGTGTCATGAACCACACTTATAAGCAGGAGGCTACAGGGCATTTAGGACTGTCAGTCTTTCTTCTTACTCTAAATCGTGTGGTAGAGCTCACTTATAAAAATTCAAATTACTAACTTCTATTTTATTCGTAATAAGATGATGCATACGTTCAGAAAGATGATCGATAAGAGATATAGCTATGGAAGTGTTGAATGAGAGGAACTCGACTTTACATCATGCTTATGATAAGTAAATGTGAGGTCTTCAGCAGATCATGTGTATACTAAGATGTGTAAGCTTCTTGATAAGAATCCCTAAGGCAAGAATGCCTATCCACTCTTACGGTAAAAAGTAATAAGGAGGGAGACACAAGTTTCAGCAAGTAAAAGAAGCAAGGTGAAGAAGGATACGTGGCACCTAGTTAATGAAGATTATCAGTATTACAGTTCCGTCAGAAAAATATAAGCATTGTGAGTTACATTCAATAGTAACAGAGGTATGTATAATTGGTCATACCCATTTCTGTTATACCATATTGGGGGCTAACAGTGTAGCTTAAGGAGAGGACGGGATATCACGATCCGAATGGGGTTAGAGTGACCCAAAATAGTGAATGGATTGTTTGCTTTAGTTGACATTTCCGAAGGATATTGCAAATGTGCTAATAGATCTCCTCGTGAGACACATAGATGGTGCACCCTAAAATAGTAAAGCTAGATATGAGCAGTGGAAGCCTTAAAGGAATAACTATTACCTTAGTGTGGCTCCCGTCCCCAGTAAAGAAAGAATGTTAGGCAATTGGAAGAGCGAAGGGATGGAGCAAGGGGAGTCAAAATCAAAAGAATGTTTTATTCGAGTTTTTCAGAGTAAAACAGTAGACATAGATAATTAGCGGGAGATAAGAAGAGAGTTAATGAAGCATTATGAGTGTCACGACCCCAGTTCGCCCTCCGTGAACTGTCGTGACGGCATCTAGTCTCTACGAGTAGGTAAGCCTAACAAATGCGGAACATAAATGAAACTTGCAGGGATAAATAAATTAAAGCCAAAAATAACCGAAGGAAAACAATATTTAAAATGCCGCTCGGCATATACAACACAACTTCTCAGAATCTGATACACTATCCCAAAACCCGAAAATTCATGGAACCACAAGCCTTTGGATATCAAACTATATCTAACTCTAGAATATCTAACAAGGAAAAGAAATATAGAAGGGCAAATGTTTAAAAGCTAGAATAGAAAGGGACTCCTCGTTCTACAGACGCGGCAGATGTACCTTGAAGTCTCTAGAGCAGCCGCCTCGCCTCATGGGAGGTAGGACCGAGTCGACGTAGCTGGATCTGCACATGAAAAACATGCGCAGAAAGGGCATGAGTACACCACAGTGGTACTCAGTAAATCCCAAACCTATCCTCGGGCGGATAGTGACGAGAAAGGTCAAGGCCATATTGAGGTTAAATAAAAAAATAAAGTTTGACAGTATAGAACAGAGCAGTATAATAAGTACAACAGTAAATGTAACAGGAATGAAAAGACATCAACAGCTACTACAGAGGCAAAGTAAACACAGAGATAAAATATGGCTCAGCACAAAGAAAGCAACCGGGGTTCTCCTAGAATACCGTATTGTAGTTCCAAATATAAATATCCAGTGGATCTCCCGAGATACCGTCCCATAGTCCAACTCATAATGCGAGGGGATCTCCCAGAATACCGATCCGTAGTTCCAAAGGTAAATACTCAGTATAGGGGGAATCTACCGGGTGCAGTCCCGTAGTTCCAATGTAAATGTGCAGGGGGATCTTCCAAAATATTGTTCCGTAGTCCCAAAGTAAACATGTAGGGGGATCTCCCGGGATACCGTCCCGTAGTCCCAAAGTAAAACACGCAGCAACAACGCAAAGAAATACTCAAATAAGCTCAATTTCGTACGAAGTAAAAATAGAAAATTCTAGCCTAACATGCTTCACGTAATGCAATTAAGGCATTTGAAGCAAATAAGCAATTAAGTCAACTAAACATGCTTTTCTAAGCTAACAACATGCTAAATTTGCAAGTAGTAAAAAAGGAAAAATG